TTAAATTAAACAGTTTTTGACACTCAGAAGACCTTCATGTTGGCTCATCTGCTTTTCAGCCAATGCCAATGCCAATGCCAGTAGTCCTGGAGTTTCTTTGTTTATTGGAACAGTGTATGTGAGGTTCATCTTGTACATTTCCTCTTCTAGTCTTGGACTCTGATACAGAATACCTGTGAGTGGGGGGGAGTTATTTTGAGGTCATAATCTAGATGGCATTTGTGCTGATTCCCACAGGGTTCCCATTGTTCATAGGCTTTTTGGTAGACTGAGCTAGGAATCAGTTTTTTTTTTAATTTTTATTTTTGTTTTATTTTATGTGTATGAGTGTTTTGCCTACACGCATGTGTCTAATTTCCACAGAGGCTAGCAGAGAGCATCAGATCCCCTGGAACTGGAGTTACAGGTAGTTGTTAGCTGCCATGTGAGTACTGGGAACCAATCCTGGGTCTTTTGTAAAAGCTGCCAGTGTTCTTAACTGCTGAGCCATCTCTCCAGCATGGAAACTGTATTTTATAGAAAGAAAAATAACTCATGAGTTCTAGATGCTATTTGCAATTCTGATTTAAGATTGAAGAATTTTTGTCATAATTTTTTTCTTGTTTTGAGACAGGGTCTCCCTTAGCCCCAGCTGTCCTGAAACTCTGTGTGGACCAGGCTGGCCTCTATCTCAGAGAGATGCGCCACCTTCTGCCTCCCAAATGCTAGGATTAAAGCCATGCACCACCACACCTGATGGATTACCCAGTTTTTATATTTACATTTTTTTCTCGACGCTGAAAATACTCATTCTAACAATGTGATTATTGAATTGCGAATTTTGGGGGTGATTCTCTACTGTCATATTACAAGATTGGAGTTACAAACTCATGTTTAAAGGGTTCAGGCAGCTAAATAAATTTACCTACTCCTATTTAACCCAACTTATGATGGTTCAGTTTATGATTTTTTTTTAAAACTTGATGATACTGTGAAAACATGCACATTCAGTAGGCAGTATATTTTGATTTTTGATTTTGATCTTTTCCCAGACTAGTGAAATGTGATATGATCCCCTCATGTGGTGCTGGATAGCAGGAGTGAACTCCAAATAGCTCAAAACCAGCCACATGGTCACAGAAGTGTCATTGTAAGTGGAGGAGTCCCTATAAATTAGATCTGTTTGAAAATCAGGGAATGATGGTAGCTTATAACCTGAGAGGATGTGGCCTACTGGACAGGCATATGTGACTTTGCTGTAGGTGTTTAAGTGCTACTTTAAAATTTATCATTAATGTATGATAAATGATGTATATGTGTGCGTGTATGCCACAGTGTATGTGGAGATCAGAGAACAACTTTGTAAAGTTAGTTCTTTCTTTTCATCTTTATGTGGGTTCCATGGATCCAACTTGGGTCATCAGACTTGAGTGACCAGCTTTTTACCCCATGCCATCTTACCGACCCGGTAGCTGATTTTTGTGAGGAGGAAATATAAGTACAATATTGTTATTTTTTTCTCTTTTAAAAAAGATGATATAAATCCAAATATTTTATTTAGCTATTAAAATTATTTTTGATTTATTTTTATTTTATGTGTATGAGTGTTATGCCTACATGTGTATAAGTGCACCTGTGTCATCCACTGCCTGCAGAGGACAGAAAAGGGCATTGAATCCCCTGGATCTGAAGCTACAGATGGTTATTAGCCACCATGTAGATGTTGGGATTCAAACCTGGGTCTTCTGTAAGAACAGCCAGTGCTCTTAACCACTAAGCCATCTCTCCAGCCCTTATTTAGCTTTTTAATATTGACAGATAATCAAATAGTCCTCTTTTGGGTAATTTCTTCTACAGATTGTTCATCACTTGTGAGAAAGATCTAAAGGTTCTTTTAAGCTTCAGTTAAGAAATTTATTGGCAAAGAGTAAGGGGAGGGAATTTAAATGTCTTGATTTTGCTAATGATGCATTTATTTATGTAATTTCTGTTTTTGAACCTCTTAAAAGTTAAAATAACTGCATTGTCCATTACATTTGCTTTTTTAAAAAAATATATTTTATTTATTTATTTATTTTATGTGTATGAGTGTACCGTCTGCATTTAAGTAAGTGCATCCCTGTTGTGCAATGCTGGGGAAGTCAGAAGAGGGCTTCAGATTCCCCTGGAACTGGAGTTAAGCACAGTTCACAGCTGCCATGTAGGTGCTGGAGATCGAACCAGGGTCCTCTGCAAGAGCAGTCAGTGCTTTTAACCACTGAGCCATCTCTCCAGCCCACATTTGCTTTTTTTTTCTTCTTGCCAACAGGAACTGACAACATCTCAGAAAAGTGGTGGGAATGTTCTTCAGATGATGTATGAGAAGCCTGAGCGATGGTCATTCACCTTCCAATCATATGCCTGTCTCAGTCGGATCCGAGCTCAGCTTGCCTCCCTCAATGGCAAGCTCAAAGATGCAGAGAAACCTGTGGTGTTTTTTGAACGGTCTGTTTATAGTGACAGGTATGCAAACAGCTTATATTTGGCTCTTTGGAGTTATGGTTTATAACTGGGTGTGACTTTTTTTTCCTTTTCCTTTTTCGTTTCCTAGTGATTGAATTAGAGGCTGAGTTGATGGTTTTAGATAGAAAATGATGTTTAATACCTTTACCAATTAGATATTACGTATTCTTTTTTTTTTTTGGTCTTTTTGAGACAGGGTCTCCCTGTAGCCCCAGCTGTCTATGTAGACCAACCTGGCTTTGAACTCACAGAGATCCACCTGCCCCTGCCTCCCAAGTGCTGGGATTAAAGGCGTGCGCCACACCGCCTGGCTTAATTAGGTATTAATTACTTTAGGAAGTTCTACTATTTGTAATCTTTGACTTTTATAGAGTCTGTGGAGAATAAGATGGCCATTTAACTCAAATTTTCAGACTTTTTTTTCCCCCTTTCATTCCAAACCTTTTAAGATTTTTATCTTTTCTGGCTAAATCTGTATTTATAGCCTAGACTCTCACCTAGAGCAAGGAGCTAAAATAAAAAAAAAAATCTAAGGGTACCTTAAAATGACCCTGCTTATACAAAGATTCTTTTGTCCTCCAAGGTTATCTCAGAATAGAGACTGAAAAGTTTTGGATCTCAGGACCCTTTTTCCATTAATTGTTGAGGAGTCCCAAAAGTTTTGTGTCATGTTGATACTTATGTTATTAGAAATTAGGATTGAGATTTATAGAAATGTAATTATCAATAGTAAACGTATTTCACATAACATAGATAGCAGCCTTCTGATAGAAAACTAGTTTTAAAACAAAAAATAATGAAAAGAGATCTCATTTTTTGTACATCTCTTTAATATCTGATTTTGAAACATGGGTTTTCATTCATGCTTATATATTTAATCTGTTATGGTGTGTTCTTTTTGTTGGAATATAATAGTAAATGATGCAGTCTGGCTTCTCACAGAACTGTAAGGTGCTTAGAGACTGGCAGGGTCTATAACGAACATTTTGAGAGCTGCTGACAGAACACATTTCCTCTACTTGGAGAGGCCTTTGTGCATGTGCTTCCCAAGGCAGTATCTGCCACAAGATATAGGAGCATGTTTTATATCCCTTTTCTCTTTCCTGTTTTGTGTGTCTATCTGTCTGTGTTTGAAATGATGTGTATGTTGATGAAGATCTCTTTCAGGTATATTTTTGCATCTAATTTGTATGAATCTGACTGCATGAATGAAACAGAGTGGACAATATATCAAGACTGGCATGACTGGATGAATAGCCAATTTGGCCAAAGCCTTGAATTGGATGGAATCATTTATCTTCGAGCTACTCCAGAGGTGAGAACCAGTAAAATTTTGTTTGCACTATTGAAACTTTAACATCAGAAATCTTTACAGAAGTATGTAGTAAAGACCATTTAAAACCAATGCCCGAGTTCCTCACCTAGAAACTTAATATTTTATTTGTTTATTTTATGAGTATATTGCCTGTGTATATGTAAGTGTACCTGTGTCATTCAATGCCCATGGAGATTAGAAGAAGGTGTTGGATTCCCTGGAATTGGGAGTTAGGACCATTGTTAGCCTCCTTGTGGGTGCTGTGACCTGAACCCAGGTTCTCTGCAAGAGCAGCTAGTGCTTTTAACTGTTAAGCCATCTCTCCAGTCCCTCACTTAGAAACTAATAACAGTAGAGAAAGAGGCATTCTGTTTCCTCAGCAAACTAGAAAGCCAAGATGGGGCAGGTTTAGTCTGTAGGCCCATCCCTGTTCTTTTTTTTTTTTTTTTAAATTATTTATTTAATAACCATATAATTAGAAGAAGCATTTCATTACAACAGCATTGACATATTCAAGAACAATTTCCAGAGCTAAGATGGATCTCTGTCAAAACTGGCTGTAAATTTTTAGGTTTACATTTGATATATTACAGTTATACAATATTATACTCAGTATAAACCCTATAAGACATAAAATTAAATGAGGTTTTAACCTTTAAAAAAGATCTTCATTTCATTATTAAAATACACAGTTTCATACAGAAAAATTCTTTTTCAATGCAATTGACATTGGATGTTCGCACATGCATTTCTAATCTCTAAATATCTGATTATTACTAGTCACTGTTGGTTACTTTCTGAGCTTCTAGGCATAGCTCCTTGGCATCTGAGCATGGATATAAAGTCATCAGGTAGATTTCAGTGGTAATGTTTTTTACGTCTGCTAATTATTAAGGAGGAAATTTTTATGCTTTGAAGAATGACTATTTTTTTAAAATTTTTAAAAAATTTAATAACCACATGATTAGGGGAAGCATTTCATTAAGCTTTAACATACTTAGTAACACACTCCAGAGTAAGAATACATCTCCTTCAAAAGTGGCTGTAAAGTTTTAGGTTCATGTTGAATTAATAAAGTTATACAATATTGAGCTCACTATAAACCCTGTAAGATACAAAACTGAATGAGTTTTTACCCTTTAAAGAAGATCTCCATTTCATTTTAAAATATGCTGTTTCCTACATTTTTTAAATATTTTTTATTTTTTGTTTTTAGAAGAAGCATATCCTTACAACTTTAATATGCTCAATAACAGTTTCCAGAGCAAAGATACAGCTCTTTCAAAAGTTGCTATAAAATTTTTAGGTTCGCTGTTGAATTAATACAGTTAAACAATATTGAATTCTGTATAAGCCCTGTAAGACATAAAAGTGAATGAGCTTTTAATCTTTAAAAAAGATCTCCATTTCATTTTAAGATACGTTTCTTACAGAAAGACTCATTGTTTTTGCTACTAACACTGAGATATTAGCGCATGCATCTCTAATCTTTATGTATCTGATTATTACTAGTCATAATCAGTTGCACTTGGATCCTTGGCGCCTGTGTATGTCTAAAAAGTCATTGGGCAGATTTCAATGGTAATGTTTATCACCTTTACTAATTAGCATGATATAAATTTCCATGCTTTCTCCTCAAATACAATACATTTTTAAAAATTTGATTTTTTTTGTGTGTGTGTGTGTATCACACAGAACATCCCAAACCATCTTATTCAACTATACACCCACTTCCCAGATGGCACCATCCCATAGCCTCCCTACCCCCACTGGAACCCTTATATTCTGATATCCATGCTACTGTCTGCTGTGTTGTTGGCACCCCCAGCCATTCCCCATTACTTGCACTTCTGGTGAATCTAGTCAGCTTATCTAAAGGTATTTGTTTTAGGAGGGTCAGCTCTTCCTCTTCTAGCACTAATCAGTTGTCAATATTCCTCTAAATAAGATTGGGATCTGCTGTTCATTTTCCCAGTTCTCTGCTGAGTTACTATCTGGGAATCCCCTTTGGCCACCCTAGCCAACAACTCAAAAGAAGGTATCACCTGTCTGGCATTGTTGCTTTTTATGTAGCCTTTAGCTATGTATATGGACTTTTAAGAAATTATATTGTCCCCTTTAATCTTTGGTTATGCTTTCCTTTGGGGTGTTTAG